ACAGCACGATTCACACAGCTCTAAATGCGCATTTCGATGCACAGTTCAATGTACAATTAGCCGCGGATCCCCTTCAACGCGCGCTTTACCGCATTATTTGATGCACGCCTCAAAACGCGCTTCCGCGTCGGAATGAATGCCGTACACGCTTCATACAGCGCGATTCGCATAGCTCTAATCGCGCTATTCGACATGCAATTCAACATACAATCAGCCGCGGGATTCAACGCGCGCTTTGTTGCACAATTCGATGCGCGCTTCAAAACGCGCTTCCGCGTCGGAATGAATGCCGTACGCGCTTCATACAGCGCGATTCGCACAGCTCTAAACACGCAATTCGACGCGCAATTCAACGTACAATTAGCCGCGGAATTCAACGCGCACTTTAGCGCATAATTCGATGCGCACTTCATATGAATGCCGTACGCGCTTCATACAGCACGATTCACACAGCTCTAAATGCGCAATTCGATGCACAGTTCAACGTACAATTAGCCGCGGAATTCAACGCGCACTTTAGCGCATAATTCGATGCGCACTTCATATGAATGCCGTACGCGCTTCATACAGCACGATTCACACAGCTCTAAATGCGCAATTCGATGCACAGTTCAATGTACAATTAGCCGCGGAATTCAACGCGCGCTTTAGCGCATAATTTGATGCGCGTTTCAAAACGCGATTCCGCGTCGGAATGAATGCCGTACACGCTTCATACAGCGCGATTCGCATAGCTCTAAACGCGCAATTCGACGCGCAATTCAACGTACAATTAGCCGCGGAATTCAACGCGCACTTTAGCGCATAATTCGATGCGCACTTCATATGAATGCCGTACGCGCTTCATACAGCACGATTCACACAGCTCTAAATGCGCAATTCGATGCACATTCAATGTACAATTAGCCGCGGAATTCAACGCGCGCTTTAGCGCATAATTCGATGCGCGTTTCAAAACGCGTTCCGTCGGAATGAATGCCGTACGCGCTTCATACAGCGCGATTCGCACAGCTCTAAACGCGCAATTCGACATGCAATTCAACGTACAATTAGCCGCGGAATTCAACGCGCGCTTTAGCGCATAATTCGATGCGCGCTTCAAAACGCGCTTCCGCGTCGGAATGAATGCCGTACGCGCTTCATACAGCGCGATTCGCATAGCTCTAAACGCGCAATTCGACGCGCAATTCAACGTACAATCAGCCGCGGAATTCAACGCGCGCTTTGTTGCATAATTCGATGCGCGCTTCAACGTTATGAATGCCGTACGCGCTTCATACAGCACGATTCACACAGCTCTAAATGCGCAATTCGATGCACAATTCAATGTACAATTAGCCGCGGAATTCAA